TATCTATCTATCTATCTATCTATCTTGCATTAAATCTGTGTCTCTAGCTGGGCATGGTGTCACACACCTGTAATCCCATCACTGAGGGGAGGGGCATGCTGAGGCAGCAGTATCACTGTGAGTTCGAGACCAGGCTGGGCTACAAAGTGAGCTCAAGGCCAGGCTGAACTGCATAGTGAGACCCTGTCTCAAAAAGATAAAAAACAAAACCAAAAATCTCTGTCTCTAGTAAGCACTGACTGATAAACTCTTTTTTTTTTTTTTTGAGACAGGGTCTTGATAAGTGGTACAGGCTTCAAATTTGCAGCAATCTCCTGATTCAGCCTCCCAGTTACTGGAATTCCAGGCCTGCCCAAGCATGCCCGGCTCATACATGAAGTCTCTCGGACTCACAGGTACCTGAGGGGGGAGGATGTGTCTCCAGTACAGATCCCTTAATGTAGAAAGGGGCAGTGAACATTGGGCAGAAAAGCTTGGCTGACCTGAGTGTTTTGACTGAAATTTTCCAGTCAGAAAGTCAATGCCGCGGGCATTTTTGTCAGTACTCAGGCCCTGCTCATGGAGTCCTATTGTTTCTGCTCTCCCTAAATACCCTGCCCACTCTGCTCCCTCTCCCACCAGCCTATGCTCTAATGGGGAAAAGCACAGAGAGCAGCAGGGAAAGCACTGCAGGCAGCATTTAGAGTTGACAGTGGAGTTGGGCGTGGTGGTGCACGCCTGTAATCCCAGCACTAGGGAGGCTGAGGCAGGAGGATCATTGTGAGTTCAAGACCAGCCTGGGCTACAAAGTGAGTTTAAAGGCCATCCTGAACTGCCAAGTGGTATCTGCTGAGGGGAGGTGAGACAGCAAGCTGCAGGTCCTGAGGAGACACTAGGATGGCAGACATAGTTGGAGTCTGTGGCAGGAGTCGCCACAGACCCCAGATGTCCAGTCTGGTAGTCAGGTGTGTTTTCCATCAAACTGGCTACGGAGATGGAGTACACGATCACCTCAGAGGCTTCAGACCTCCCTGATGAGGAGGTTCAAAGCCCATGGGGATTGGCAGTGTGGGGCGGGGGAGTGCGGGCCGCCTCTTCTCAGAGCTGGTCTCCACTTGTGTCCTCCCTGGAGAAGAGGCAGTGGCTTAGGTTCAGCTGAATTGTAGAAGCAGGGTGTGGGCAGATTAGTGTGTGTTTTGTGGAGGGGAAGGTGGTGTTTGACAGAACTCATGAGCACTGGTCAACCATCCTCCAGTGTGAGGACCAGAGTTCCCAACCTGTCTCTCTTGGATATGCCTTGAGGTGGTGGTGGTGGATGATGAGGTCCCAGAATGATCATGCGAGGGGGCTGGAGACAGAAGAGGTCACAGAAGGTGACCAGTGAATGGGAAGTATGACAAGGAAGGAGGGCCTCATGAAGGCCAGGATAGGAGACAGATGAGACAGGAAGCAGGACAAGGAGGACTGTTATGGCTCCTGTCTAGATGTCCACCCAAAACCTCATGTAGTCATAGGTGGGGCTTTTCAGAAGTGGCTGGCTGTAGAGTGTGTGATTCTGAGATCACGGGTATGTGATTATAAATTGCTCCACAGACTGGTGTATGACATAGTTCTGGGTAGAATCCAGGGTGCCTCAGCAGGGATAAAATAGAATGCAAAGAAAGAGGCTGGTGCCGGGTGCTTGCTGCTTGCTACTTCACTGCTTTGCTGCCTTCTGCCTGTCATGAACTGTCGGGTATTTTGTCTCAGCAATGAGAAAAGAAGCTAAGAGGAAGGACAATGCATAGAAAAGCTGCAGA